GCCATCAGGCCTCTGGGACCTCAGAAAGTGTCCCTCTTGGACACTGGGTCTTTCCAGGCACCAAAGGGAAAAGGACCAGACTCTTCCCTGCTCTGGGAGAAGTCCCTAGAGACATCTCCTTCTCTGCAGCCTCCCTGCCTGGACTTCACCAGTGGGGTCCGACGCTCAGGCCCACGAAGTGCGGTGGTTCCCTGTGCTGTGTGAACCTGGGTCTTCCAGGCAGTGGTTGGCCACCCCACCAACTGGCAGAACAATCCTCTCAGTTTCCAACGACTTGAAAACCACATGTGATTTTCCATAGTCCAGGCTCCCCGGGCCTGGCTGCTGAGCGAGCAGAGTTCGTGCTGAATTCCTTCCACTCACCGCAGGGCAGACAGTGGGCCCAGCTGTGGGGAGACTCTCTGGAATGGGGGGTCACCACATCCAGGCAGGGCAGGCGTCCAGCATTGGTGAGTAATTCTGCAGCCTGCCGGTCTGGGAAGAGGACATGTGACAAGTTAGTGTTACAATCATCCCAGTGTTAAGCCAGAGAGGAGGAGACCCTTCAAAATGGGCTCCGTTTGCTGCCCCACCCCCACCCCCGCACACCTTCATCAAGATTAACTTCAGACAGGTTAAGATTTCAGTCAGTATTCCTCGCCCTGGGCAGAGAACTTGGTTGCATACTAGTTTTGGTCCTGTGTACAACAAAGGTCACTGGGGATGAAATTTCAAAGAAAACAGAACACTGGGGAAGAGAGTGAGCATCATCCGCCTCCTGGAGTTTGAGGAACCAGCTGCGGCCTCAGCCCAACCTGCCGGGAAGTCAAACTCCACAGCATTGCACTCTTTCTGTTCGTTTGGGACAGGGTGTTGCTACGTAGTCCAGGCTAGCCTAGAACTCATGATGCTCCTGCCTCAGCCTCCTGAATGCAGAAATTATAGATAAGCCAATGACTCTCTTTGAGTCCATTTCTCTCTTCTGTGAAATGAGGCAAAATGACATTATTAAACCTCTATAACATGGTTCAAGGTTCAAGGTTTCATGGAGATACATCTGCATACTTGTACCTGAAAAACAATAATTTTTACTTTTATTCATTTTTATTTAATTATTAATTTTTATTTTATTTTATTTATTTTTAACTGTTTTTTAGAGACAAAGTTTCTCTATAAAGTGGTCCTGGCTGTCCTGGAACTCACTCTGTAGACCAGGCTAGCCTCAAACTTACAGAGATCCACCTGCCTCTGCCTCCCGAGTGCTAGGATTAAAGGTGTGTGCCACCATCACAGCTTGGCAAAGAAAGCTGCATTTTTAAAGTTTAATTTGAATCTATTTCCCTTTTAAATGTCTAGCTTACTGAGAGAGCATTTACCAAGCATGCATGGGGCCCTGGGTTCTAGTCCTACCACTAGAAAAACAAAAAAAACAAAAAATCCAAAGAATAAAAGTGAGCTAAAAGACCTGGAAAGATGACTCAGAGGTTAAGAGTACCTGCTGCTCTTCCAGAGAACGCAGTTCCATTCCCAGCACTCACATGGTGGCTCACAGCAGTCTGTAACTCCAGTCCCAGGGGATCCAGTGCCCTTTTCTGGCCTCCATGAACACCAGGCATGCATTTGGCACACAGACATAAATGTAGCCAAAGCATCCATATATAAAAAGTAGAGTAAAATAAATTTTTTTAGAGTGAGCTAAGAGACATAAACAGACAATTCACAAAAGGAACATAGGTAGCCACCGAACATATACAAATGTTCGACCTCACCAAAGGTTATAAAATCTAAACCAAGGGGCAGGAGAGATGGCTCTGTGGTTAGGAACACTGACAGCTCTTCCAGAGGACCCGGGTTCTATTTTCAGCACTCACAGTCACCTGTAACTCAAGCCTTAGGGATCCAATACCTTCTTCTGGCCTCCAAGAGGGGCTTCTGACAGTTGTCTTCTGATCTCCACAGGCATGACATGACATGCATACACACACACACACACACACACACACACACACACACACACACACAATCTTTCCGTGTAAGAAGTACCAGGCAGTAGCTGTCTAAACACTGGGAACAGGAACACCTGGGGAGGCCGTCTTATTTAAGACCACTTGGCAGTAGAGAATAGAAGACTACTTCTGCTGCAAGCAGCTGAACTCCAACAAGCACCCTGCTGTGGTGACGGTGTTGTGGTACCTAAAATATGATGAAAATGTAAGTCTTACTCTTGTAAATTAAATCTAGGCAAGGAGTTCTGAGTAAGGCAATCTAATAACCGTTAACAACCGTCAGAGGCTCCGGCTCCTCTGACGCTGTTCCTTTGGCCTCAACATACAGCCTCGCTCTCACAATACAAACCAATGGTTGTGATCCGGCCATCTTCACAACGTCGAGCCCACAGACATTTTCTTTAAGAACGCTCTGTAGCCAGGTGTGGTGGATGGCATCCATGCTCTCCTCACTCAGGCAGAGGCAAAAGAAGCAAGAGTTTGAGGCTAGTGTGTACTACAGAGCAAAACCATCTGGAATCCCCCGACGTCCCCCGCCCCCCAAACCAGCCAACCCACCAGCAAACAAACAACAAAACTTCTAACACTCTCTGGAAGCTCCGCATTCATTCCATTGATTTCCGTGGGCCTTTAATCACAACTGGGTCCCAGGCCAGGGCAGAGAGCTACAAAGGGAGGTGGGAGGCACAGCTTTCTCCTGACATCCCGGGCTGTCACTAAAGGGCTTGACATTAACAGCCTCTGCTACACGTGGTATTTTTCTTGTTCTTGTGTTTAGTGAGATCCCTGAGATCTAAAGATGCCATTTAAAAAAAAAAAGTCAGTGTCTGGATGAGGAGGGTGTGAACTCCAATCTTAGGAAGCATGAGACGTTGGGGGCAGCCACATCAACAGCTGTGGTGTGTGTGTGTGTGTGTGTGTGTGTGTGTGTGTGTGTGTCTATGTTTGTGTCTGTCTGTGTGTCTGTGTGTATCTGTGCACATGTGTGGTATGTGTATGTGTGTGTGTGTATCTGTGTGTCTGTGTGTCTGTGCACATGTGTGGTATGTGTATGTGTCTGTGTGTGTCTGTGCACATGTGTGGTGTGTATGTGTGTCTGTGTCTATGTATGTCTGTGTGTCTGTGTGTATCTGTGCACATGTGTGGTATGTGTATATGGGTGGTGTGTGTGTGTGTGTATCTGTGTGTGTCTGTGTGTCTGTGCACATGTGTGGTATGTGTATGTGTCTGTGTGTGTCTGTGCACATGTGTGGTGTGTGTGTGTGTTTGTGCACATGCGTGGTATGTGTATGTGTCTGTGTGTGTCTGTGCACATGTGATGTGTGTGTGTGTGTCTGTGCACATGTGTGGTATGTGTATGTGTCTGTGTGTGTCTGTGCACATGTGTGGTGTGTGTGTGTGTGGGGGGATAAGGTACTCATATTCCTGCCGTTTGCAGACTCAGCCAGAAGCCCAGCCAAGGAAAACATGAAGTGGGCAGCCAGCTTCAGCCTGGGGGACACCCTGCAGGTACCCAGCCCAGCTCCCCAGCTCCTGCCAGCATTGAGAGGGAGAGAATGCTCGCCAGGACACGGGGTGCCCCAGGTCTAATGCCAGGACCTATAGCTGCCTGGTTGCCATCTCTAGTGCCACCCCCACCCCTACCCCCGGCTAAGAAGGGTGAGTCACACATAAATGTCCATTCCCTCAGCCCCAGGCAGTTCTTCATAGCTCAGTCTGCATCTCCCCTGGGCAGAGTTCAGGTTGCCCCGAGTTCCCAAGTGGCTCCACTTTCTTCTCCTTCCTTCTGAGGCAAGGGGTCCAAAAGTGTCATTTGGTATGTTCTTTTCTTTTCTTTTCTTTTTTTTTTTTTCAGTTCTGAGGATCGAACCCAGGGCCTAGGCAAACACTTCGCCCAACCCTTCATAGGTCCCTATTGTCTTCCCGCCTCCTCCCTGTGGAAGCACTCCTGCTGCAGAGATGACCGCCCACTCTCACCTCAGACAGCTCTTGTTCTCCATGTCTAGCCTGGACTTTATTCTGACTTCCCTCTCCCTTGGTGTTGCAGGGTCTGGATCACTATTCCCAAGGTTGGCCGTCTTCCTGGCCCATTGCCTCCCCCGGGCTGGGAGTTCAGTGTCTGTGCATCATGGCTGACTCACTTGCTTGTCCCACATCTCTTTCCATCCCCATGTACCACCCCCAGGCCATTGCAAAGACTTGAGGGCCTCCACACAGTGGAGGCAGGTCCACTCTGGGGGCCTGTAAGACAACCCTTCCCACGTCTTGCCCCTTTTCCTTAGCTCTGGAATGTGTCCGAAAACTCAAGGACCAGTACCTTGCTCCTGACCTGATACTGCCTTGCTAGAGATGCTCTAGTCCACACTTTTGACCCTCACACCCTTGCCTACCTTGATGAATCACCCACCTACGGTCCTCTAGACAATCCCCTTCTACAGGGTGAGGAAGTAAGACTCGTTTACCCACTGTGGGAGTTTGAATGTAATTGGCCCCCATAATCCCAAAGGGAGTGGCACTATTAGGAGGTGTGGCCTTGTTGGAGTGGGTGTGACCTTGTTAGAGAAGTGTGTCACTGTGGGGGTGGGCTTTGAGGTTTCCTGTGCTCAAGACACGGCCCAGTGTCTTAGACTATTTCCTGTTGCCTTCTGATCAAGATGTAGCCAGCACCATGCCTACCTGCATGCCGCCATACTCCCCGCTGTGATGATAATGGACTGAACCTCTGAAACTGTAAGCGAGCCACCCCAATTAAATGCTCTTCTTTGTAAGAGTTGCCATGGTCATGGTGTCTCTTCACAGCAATAGAAACCCTGACGAAGACACCCACCATGTGGAAGAACTGTCCCTGAGGTTTCTCTCCAGCAGAGGAAACAATGGCTACAGCCTGACACTGAAGACCAACACAGACCCCCTGGGAGGAAGGCTGAGTGGGGCCCGCAGAGATCTCGGGTCAGAGAACCTTGGGGGAGGGGCGAGGCGGGGTGGGGGGTGGGGGTGGGGTGGGTGGGGGTGAGAGCAGACGCGGTAAGTCAGCCTGAGCTTGGATCTTCACTGGGTTGGGAATAAAAGTCACTGGAGTGGCCTGCACAGAGCAGAGGGATAGGGACGATGCAGACGTACAACCACAAGAAATGGCCGAAGAGTTGACAGAGCCAAAAATGCTTAGAAGCAGTAGCTGGGACTCCCAGAGAGAGGAGGGGAGGGGAGAGGTGCCCCCCACAGTGTGTCTCCTAGACAGCTGACACTGCAAAATCCTGTTGAAAGCATGGGGGGGGGTCAAGGGAGCAGACTCCTGTTGGTGGGAGGAGGCAAGGAGTCCACTCCAGCAAGTCGTTTTCTTTTTCTTTCTTTCTTTCTTTTTCTTTTTTTTTGAGGCAGGGTTTCTCTGTGTCGTTTTGGTGCCTGTCCTGGATCTCGCTCTGTAGATCAGGTTGGCCTCGAACTCACAGAGATCCGCCTGGTTCTGCCTCCCGAGTGCTGGGATTAAAGGCATGCGCCACCACTGCCCGGCCACTCCAGCAAGTGGTGAAGGAAGAATTCATATGTGGCAGATGACCACATTGCCTGGCCCCCTCCCCAGATGCCCCTTCCCAAAGTGGGCTCATGCCTAGAGGTACTGAAATGCCACTGGCGACCACACCCTGTATGGTTCTGGATACCTGTACCATTGGGGACCCTGGGTGATCCTCCCTACCTCCCAGTAGGGCCTGGATCCCTGCCAGCTGTGTTGAATTAGAGAAGGGATATATAGTCATGGGCTCAGTCCTTCCCTGGTGGGGAGCAGGGATGGGGACAGAGAGGCTCCAGTGTTTGATTGGCTCTCCCCTACGAGAATGTGGGTGCCATGCAGTGTGTCTCTGTCTTGGCCAGTGCCTAGCTCAGTTATGCCCTTTCGTGGGGTGGGAGCCCCGGGCTCAGTATCTCCACCTTGCAGAAGCTCCTCTACCCCCTTCCGGGTCAGTTGCTGCCTTCACTCTGTGAAGACGGTTCTTTCAAAAGACTTCTATTGCGTAAGTACTGTGCTCTCACTCTAGAAAAATTAGAAAACGTCAGGCCAAATAACAAAACTATCGATAAGTGTTATCAAAGTACAGGCCGCCCCTCCCCCACCAGAGCGAGCAGCGACAGTCCTCCAGAGGTTTGTGTTTAGACCTGGGGACACCTGAGGGAGCCCAGCACGGCTCCATCACTGCTTGCCCTCTCTGTCTCCAACCCCTCCCCGGCCAGAGTCGGGTATTGATGTCACCCCCTCCGACGGGACATTAAAGAGTTGACATGTGTGGAGTGCTTGGAGCAGTCTGGCAGGGAGCACTAGCCAGGCTGACCTCATTATGGAGATGTGCACACCCTTAGAAACATTTTATTGTGGAAACTCCAGGCATCTGCACAGGCTGCCTGCCCTGGCGCCTCGCCTGCAGTTCACGACTCTTGGCCCACCTGCTCCACTGCTTGCCTCCCTCCTTCCTCCTGAAGGCATCATCGTAAGGTTCCCCCAGGGAGTAAACAGACTCTCTCCCTCTCTCTTTCCATCTATTAGCTCTCTTGAAAACACAATCACATTCATTCAGAGCACAAACGTCCCTAAGGGCTCCATTCATTTGTGCTCGCGGTTTATCTGAATCTGGATTCGCCTGAGACCCATGGGCTAGGATTCCTACCTGGGGCTCCCCTCAGCTAACTGCATCTAGGTTGCTTCTCTAGAAGCTTCCCAAGGCTTGGATATTGCGAACTTCTTTTCACACCCAACATCTGAAACAAATGCAGTGATATTTGTTGTGTCCGTGAATTCAGCCCAACACTGGAGAACGCTGGAAACTCAATTTGACTCTTCCCTGAGTGGTTTCACGTTGAGTTCAGCACTCGGCCTGCTGCAGTCCTACAAGGATGCCTTCGTCCCTTCCCCCTGGCCTCCAGGGCATCAGAAGGCAAAGTCAAGCTAAGGAATCTGGTCCTTAAGTCGCTGTGTCCAGAGGCGTGTGCTCAGCCATCCACATCTCACACAGTGCCGCCATGAGTAACCAAGGGATGTCCCGTCCCGGTGGGAAGTGTAATTCCTGTCCGTCGGTTTACAGTTTGCATTTCGGCTTCTGCAGGATCCTGTCTCCTGAAGGAGGAAACTAGAGCTCAAGCTGTCATTTAACTTAAGTGTCAGGCGGAGCGACACCTTCAAGTGGATGGAAGATGGAGGCCACTCTTCCAGGGTCAGCTTCTGGTCAGGAGGCTCCCTGACCCCTCAGCCTCCAGCAGAACTTGGTGAGGCCTCGAGAACGGGTTACCTTATGGTTCTCAGGTACCCTCCAACTCTAGCCAGCTTCTCCACCCTCCTCCTCATGTTTGCTTCTGGATATCTCCTTCGGTGTTTCTTCTTGTCGCAGCAGGAAGCTGCACTGGGTCCCTTCACAACTGCACCTGTGTCCCTCCTTTGCTGGTCTCCTTGCTCCTGACAGTGTCCTCATTTGCAGCTGTAGACCTCACTGCTCCAAGGTTGTGACTCATCGAGCAAGGTGATCCTCACCCTCTTCCCTCCATGTCCCTGTAGGTCTCAGGACCATCACTTACATCACACTCAGCTTTCTGCTCTCAGGTGACGGCAGGTCCAGCCTGTCCGCCGCTGGAGCAGATCCGTTCAGATCATGGTGTAGCCAGAAGCCTGTCTTCCTCATCTGGGGCAGGACAGTCACCTGTAGGAGGGGTCTCTCCTACCATTATCCCTTTATGTTAAAGCTGACAAGGGTCAAGTCCTACTTTGAACCTCTGCTTGAAATCTCCACTTCAGGGTGAAAGCCAAAGACCCTCAGGTGACTACCAGGGCCACATGATCTGACCACGTTTTGACCTTCTTCCCTGTGCTCTGCTCCAGCTGCATGGGTGCTTCCTTTTTTGACCATGCAGAACACAGGCTCACCTTGCTAGCTCCCTGTCTAGAACAGGCCTGCTTGCCTGTGTGAGCATTGCTCAGACCTCATCTTCCGGCCCTGGGCAGGCCTTCTCCCTCGGTTTTCATTTTTTACTTTTTATGTGCATTGGTGTTTTGCCTATATTTATGTCTACGTGAGGGTGTCGGATGCCCTGGAACTGGAGTTACAGACAGTTGTGAGCTGCCATGTGGGTGCTTGGAACTGAGCCCAGGTCCTCTGGAAGAGCAGCCAGTGCTCTTAACCTCTGAGCCATTTCTCTGGCCCCTTCCCTGGTTTTGATTTTACACTCTACTGATACATACAGTTTTGTGAGTTCCTGCTCTGTTTGTGGTCAGCAGGAGCCCAAGTCTGGGTTGGGAGCTGTGATCCTTGTCTACATGGCTTCTTGTTACCCATAAATGGACCAGCCTCTTGACATGACAGTTGTGAGACCTTGTAAGTGAAAACACACGGGGCCACAGAGTCTCTTCTGCTGCATTGTGTTGGCCAAAGCAAGTTTCAGGACCAGCTTATAATCAAAAGGGGCCAGTGAGACAACTCAGCTAGGAGAGGCAATTTCCACCAAGCCTGACAACCCCAGTTAGATACCTGGGCGCCACAGGGTAGAAAGAAAGAACTCACACACACACACACACACACACACACACACACACACACACACACACACACACACAAAGAGGCAAGCCTCTACTTCTTTCTAGGGGGAGCAGACATCAACATCATTACAGGAAAGCAGTATGCGGTAAGAATTCCTGGGGCCACATTCACTGTTACTGACTAACCTGCTGGCCCAATGTACATTCTCCTTGTCTGTCTTGTACCATGTGGACAGTGGCTTCTGTATGCCACATACACTGTATTCCATGTGCTTACACAGCAGGCTGTGTGTTTGTTGAATGAATGGTTGGAAGGGTGGCTCTAAAGTTAAATAGCTAGCTAGTTAGATGGTGTGTGTGTGTGTGTGTGTGTTTATTTTGTGGGGATTGCGTTTTTGCTGTGACTGGGCCTCAAGCATGATAGACAAGTGTTCTAACATTGAGCTATAACCTCAGCCACAAAGTCTAAGTTATAGTTTATATATGTTTGCGTACTTAAATCATGCTTCTGCCTCTATGGCTGCAGCAACCTTGGATACATTCGTTTTGCTCTGAACCGGCTACGTCAGCTGCAATGTGGGGAAACTGACAGTGAAAGCAGGTGTAGTAGTTTGTACCTTCCCTTCTCTTTCCCCTGGAAGCAAAGGCAAGAGGATTGGGAGTTCCAGCCCTGAGCCACACAGCAAGACTTCATCAAAACAACAACAGCAGGGGCTGGAGAGATGGCTCAGTGGTTAAGAGCACTTACTGCTCTTGCAGAGAACCCAGGTTCAGTTCCCAGCACCCACACGGCATAGGTGGCTGTAACTACATTTCTGGAAGATCCAACGCCCTCTATTGGCCTCTGAAGGCACTGCATGCATGTGGTGAACATACATAGTCAGATAGAACACTTATACACATTTTTAAAAAACTATAAAAATAAAACCAAGCTGGGTGTGGTGGCACACGCCTCTAATTCTGGTACTTGGTAGGTAGAGGTAGGATGATCTCTGAGTTCCAGGCCAGTCTGGTCTACAGAGTGAGTTCCAGGACAGCCAGGGATACATAGAGAAATCCTGTCTCAAAAAAAACCCAATAGATAGATAGATAGATAGATAGATAGATAGATAGATAGATAGATAGATAGATATAAAGCCACCACTCCCAAAGTGCAAAGGGTCCCAGCTTATGGTGGTTTGACTTACAAATTTTCAAGTCTACAGTGGTGTGACAACTATGTTCAGTAGAAATTACACTTTGCATTTGTGTATTTTCCCAGGTAAGTAGCGTGCGGTACTTGATGAAAGCAATGATGAGCACTGGACCAGGAGGTGAAATAGCCACTGACCTACCATGTGCTGTACCACTCAGCTTGGGTGCTCTGTAGGACTGGGTATCAAGTCATTCTCCACCGGTAAGATTTCCAAGCTGCCATGAGCTTATGGTGCGTAGCCCCAGCACAGACCAAGGAACCTCTACAAGCAATTCAGCATATTCAGAAAGAAATAAAAAACTCAATATGTCATTAGCATGGTATGCAGATGCCTCCAAGTCCTCCATTCATCTAACAGTTGTTACTTCCCACCTGATCTACCAGCTGACCACTCAACTTCTGGGGCAGCCCTGACCCTGACGGGGACTCCAGGGTCTTTCCACAAACCTTCCTGGCTGCTGTCACCTTTTCCCTTGACCTTGACCTTAGCTTGAGGCTGCTCAGGGGGACCTTGTTGCCTCCCCAGAGAGCCTCTTGGGACTCTCCACCTACCTACACCGTGGGTCAGAAACCAGGAGAGATGGCAAGATTTTCTAACTCAGTGTCCATAAACCAGGGACCTCCCTCCCCCGAATTTGTATCCCTGTTTCATTTCAATAGTAATCACAGTAAATGAGAAAATAACTAAAAAAAATATAATAGTGTCAGCTTCTGCAGTAGTATGAATGAACTCATCTTTGGATTTTTTGTTTGTTTGAGGCAGAGTCTCACTGTGTAGCCTTGGCTAGACCGGAACTCTCTATATGGACCAGGTTGTCCTCAAACTCAGAGATATGCCTGCCTCTGCCTCCTGAGCGTTAGGATTAAAGGCATTTGCCACCACACCTGGCCATTTTTTGGATTTTTTTTTTAAGATTTATTTATTTATTTATTATGTCTACAGTGTTCTGCCTACATGCATGCTTGCAAGCCAGAAGAGGGCACAAGATCTCATTACGGATGGTTGTGAGTCCTCACAACCTTCCAAAGCGGCTCAGCCCTCGCCACACCTCTGTCCCTCACCTCCACCCCCCCAGCATCTGTCTTCAGGTTCTCTTTGATGTTCTTTACACCTGGGTGGGCTCCTTCCAAGGCTGGAAGTCAGCTCTGCTCCTGGCACTTGCCCCTTCTGTCTTGATCTCTTTCCCCTACAGCCCACTTGCCAGCAGCATTTGGAAAGCCCGTGGTTAGACTCCTAACGCTGCTGGACTGGGGCTCCCGGGGATTGCCGGCCTTTCATGAACACTGGCCAGGACCTTCAAGTGCTTTGACATGTTGTAGTCATTAAGCCCTGGTGTGCCTGTCCCATGACTGCTGTAACAAATTGTCACAAGTTGGGCAGCTTGAACCAGCAGAGACCTACTCTCTCCCAATTCTCAAGGCCAGAAATAAAACAAACAAACAAACAAACAAAACCCAGGTGTCAGCAGACCCACGTGCCGAAGTCTGCCGCTGAGGCCCCTGCCCGCCTCTTCCAGGCCGTGGCTGCACTGGCCTCGTCTCTGCTGTCACCTTCGGCGGCTGTCTTTCCCCTGGGCTCTTCTGATGTGTGTCCCCCTCTTTCCTGAGAATGACACAGGTCAAGAAACATCTCTCTAATTCAGGAAGATATCACCTCAAGGTTCTTACCCTAATTATATCAGCAAAAGACTCTTATTCCAAAAAAACTCTGGAAGGACGAGGATGTTTGCAGGGGAGGGGGGTTACTCTTCAATCTGCTACCTGGGTCTAGCTTATGGATGTGTGTGTGTGTGTGTGTGTGTTACTCTTCAATCTACTACCTGGGTCTAGCTTATGGATGTGTGTGTGTGTGTGTGTGTGTGTGTGTGTGTGTGTGTGTGTGTGTTACTCTTCAATCTGCTACCTGGG